TCAAGTGGATTAAAATAATACCCCATTGTCACCACGGGTATTCATATGCAAGCCATATATCAAGTGCTCTCAAAACGGGCCTCCTTTGGTTTAGAGGAATTTCATAGGAACTCCAGAGGATAGAATTCTTATATGATTTTTTTTCCTTTAGAGCCCTTTGGTTCATAGGAATGGATTCCTATTCCTACATAGGATTGGTTCCTATCCTTCACATTTCATAGGAAAATAAAAAAGAGCCTAGACTTAATGGAAAAATTCATTTGGTGTCAAACAAATGACATCTTGTTTCCTATTCCTACTCATAGGATTTGAGATACATGTCATCTCATTTCCTACAAGATTCCTATTCCTATGATAATCCTATCCTATGAACCAAGTATTCAATCTGATAAAACGAAATCTCAAAGGAAAAACTCAATTCATCGCAACAAGATAGAGAGGGGAAAACACCATATGATCCAACCATATTAATAAAGCCCCCGGTACATCAAATATAAGTAGATACCCTTCATTCATAATCATCTATCGTTTCATCACTTTATTCATAAATGTAAGAAGCATCCATCTTTTACTTTAAAAAATGAAGTGACATGCATGCTACATTAAAGACGAAGAAGCATAGACCATCCCATAATAACTTGTACAACATTCTTATTTTTGACAAAATGACAACAAAAAGGTAAGATGTCTGAGAAGATACAAATTTTATATGTGGTTGTTGTTTTAGTGCCATGCCTAACACATAATATGATAAAAGCGTCAATGGATGGGGAAAGATAAATGTTTATTTTGCCATGAGGATGAGTCTCCATCTCATTTGTTTACGGACATCGATTCCGCGTATCGGCAGCATTGCTCGTCCGAAGACCGAAGACACACGAGCTAGCTTGCCCCGCTGCCGGCTTCTCTCTTTCTCTTGTGTGCGTGCTTGCGGGCGTGCATGGCTCCCGGCGATTTGGCGCACGTAGGCACCGTTTGAATCGGATCGTGCGTGCGTACGGCCAAATCTCACACTAAATATCCTCACTCACTCATGCATTTGCCTATTTTGTTTGATCCCCTCATCCCGACCGTAACCCCCTCGTGCAACACAAACATCACCCACTCTCCCCATATTGCCCCTCCCTCCCTCCACGGCTCCACCCGTACAAGATACACTACCCCATGTCAACTCCCCGTGCACATCAACAAACAAAGAGTAAACCATGTTTCTATCTTCCTCCCCAAGACAGGAAAAGCGAGCTAGCTTTCCGTCGCCAGGGACTCACGCTCCGCCGCCCGCCTTTCTCCGGTGGCTCCCCTCCGTCGATGACCTCGGTCGTCGGATCCACGCATGTGGATAGTTTTAGGCCAAAGTAGCTTAGATTTTTAGGTTGTTCATCGTCTTGACTTCGGCGACGGCGATGGCAGCGCTGAAGAAAATTTCTTCATATACTACTTCGATGAGACAATTGGTCCTATCGTTGGGGATGGATTTGGAATCCAGTCTGTTCAAGCAAGGATGATGTGGCTGCGGCGGCATCCTCGTGGTGGATATGTGTCCTCGGACTCTGCCATTGCGACAACGTCTGCTCCAGCGTCGGCGTGAAGCTTGGGAGGTAGTCCAGGAGCGAATGCAGATTGTGGTATGCATCGACGACATCTGAAAGACGGAATGTGTGCTGGGTTCGTCGTTGATGGATGGCAGGCATGGTTTCCTCCTTCGACGTATTAGTCATGGTGGGGTGTCAGATCTGGAGTTCGATGACGTGTCCGGGGTGTTGCCCCGGGTCTGATTCGTTCAACGGCAATGGCTTCACTTTTGGCGAGCCACCTTGGAGGTCCACAAAGCTGCATATCAGCGATGGAGCCGCGTCGAACTCGGGTGAGGAGGTGATCCGTCATTCTATTCTTCTATGGCTACTGTGGTGGTACCGGAGGCAGGTGATGGACGTTGGTGTCAAACTCAGAGATGTTCTGCTCTCTTTTCAATTTTATCATGTCGGTCTTTACGTGACTTGTACTTTGATCTTTATCATATGAAGGAGACATGTATTACCATGAAAAAAAAAGAGTAACACATGTTCCTTCCTTCCTCCCCTCTAATAAACAACGAGATTTGTGTCCCACCATTTGGAAACTGGTTTTACTAGCGTGGCCACGGGATTTTTTTATTAAAAGAGGGGGGCTCCCTCCCATTCCATTAACGAAACCAAACGAGGCATGACAAAGTCGTTTCAGCACTGCTAGTTAGGCTATCAACTAAAAACATTAAAACGCAAAATAAGAGGCAGACGACTACTGGGCCCTATTACATCAAGGTTTACCCAGCAAATCAAGACCACGTGTTCACAATAGGAAAGCAGCAAGCGATATGAGACGCCACTGGTGAAGTAGGAATAGACAAGTCTCCATCCTTGCGACGCTTGATAAAACTCACTTGCGTTAATTAATTGAGCAATTATCTTCTTCTTAATTAATCGATGAGGCAAAACTTTTGTCTCTATTTCGAAAAAAAGATAAAACTCACTTGCCACCCACTCTATTAGTCTTGCTTCCAGCATCAACGGCTTTTGCTCTGGGTTTTTTCTTTGCAAAACAGCCCAATCAATAATCCAGTTGCATAAAGTTCGGACAATGATCATGGGATCATGAAAATTCTTAGATCTAAATACAATATCATTTCTACATTTCCAAATGAACCAAAACAGAGCAGAAATCCCAACCAACATTAATTGCTTTTGTGGTTTCTGAAAGGTTCTGGAAGTGTCATTGTAGTGAGCACTTTGAGTCGGAAGGTGATTAAGCCCCCTTTTGGATACCGCGTTTCATGTGTGACCCCCCCTTGAACCAATGTCGGGTCTCTCGGTATGCAAGGCATTTGTGATGCCATAAAAGGTTGGCGCGATGAATCATGTGCTGACTTATAGCCCTCACGCACGCGAGAGCCACTATAGTCGGGCAATGTTGTGTTTGTTGATTTGGTTTTCAACCAATGTTTTGGCTTGCCGACCTCTAGGGGTTTGGACATGGGTTTATCCATAGATATGTAGTGATTTGAACCCCGTTTGCACTTTTTCACTCACTGTTTCGTACCCCGTTATTCCCCTTACGGGGGCGGTCATCGAAAAATCCTACACGGGCAACCCATTATGTGTAAGACAAAAAGGGAAATAAAACAAAGATGATGGGAAACAGGTTGTCGGTTCTGTCCATTGATTTTTTAACGGGCATCGATTTCGCGTACCGGCAGCATTACTCATTTGCACTAAATCCTCACTCGCTCCGACCGACCGGGAGTACGTAGCGCAGACTAAATCCTCACTCGCTCCGAGTGGAGTGCGCGTGGGAGCTACGTGCGTGCATGCATGTCATGTGGATATATGCGCGCGCGCGGGAAGCATTTCTGGGCCAGGTCCGAGACATGAGTGTAGTTTCTTTGTGAGTTGCCATTCCGTTTCGCACCAGGTGTGCCCTGGCTAAGAGTGTCGACACATCGTTTTTTTCGGCAGCTATTCGACGGGGATCGTCGTCCCGTTAATCCTCCGAACACGACCAAAGGATGGTCTACTGGGCAGTGGCGTTTCCAGCGAGACTATGATTGTATTCTCGGTCAAAGAGACCTTAGCGAAACTCATTGGTCTTTCTTTTACAGTCTTATAAGGACCTCTGAAAACTACCTTTCCCATAACCAACACAAAAGAAAGAAACACGATAAACACGGCACCAACGATATCTTTGAGCTGGCCGCATTTACGACCCGAGCCCCACCGATGCCGAAACCAAAAGAGACCACACATGCGTTTTCACTGTGACTGGGTTTTCGGCTATATACAAAGAGTCCGAACCCCGCATCTATTGTCGCCTTAGCTGGTTCTGTCTGATATGCCTATTCTCTCTGAGCTAGTTGCATTTACGAGACACCAATATTGCTCGAATAAAAAATATCAAAAACCACAAACACGTTTCACCATGATTGTGTTCTCGGCCAAAGAGACCATAGACCAACCCATTGGTCTTTCCTTTTCTCCAAGACGAAGAAATGCCCCCTCCCCCAAGGTTTTGGTCATCAAACGAAATTTCGAGATTTCCTGTGCTTACCAAATATTTTAGTGCCCACCCGATAAATCTCCATACGGAGCAAAAAATACCATTTTTTGAAAATTTTGATTTTAAACTCTCGATCGACGGCTGGATTGGGCGGGGCCGATTGGCGGCTGGACCGGGCCCCCATACCGAGCAAAAAATACCCCTGGCCGCCCGATCCAGCCGCTCATTGGCCCCGAACCGAGTAAACTAGGTAGGATCTAAGTAATTTTACGGGAGTTGGTTCTAGCGTGTTGGTAGCAACCTAGTCCCCTTCTTGATTTTTCTCTATGGTTCGAGTGTCCGTTCTTTCAACTCTGTATTTTTTTCAAAATACAAAAGTGCAAAACGTGAAAAGTAAAAGGTCCATAAGTCGAACCCGAGACGTCAGAGACCACGTGGAGACAAAGTTCCGCTGAGCTGGTAGACACGGCACAGACCGCGTGGAGACGGAAGCAAGATAGACACGACAGCGGCGGCACCTCTGAGCTGAGCTGGCGCATTTACGACCCACGCGCCCCACCGACGCCGAAAAGGGTCACGCACGCGGTTTCTCCCACCCGGCCGTGTTCTCGGCCAGATACAGACCGAAAAAACAAAGAATAAGGACAATGCCATACCAACCATATAACATAGCACAAAAACTAGGTCATGTGTATCCTTTTGAAAAGGTGAGGAGCAATTGTGGTAGGAAACACAAAGGAAAAATTGCATGGCATTGATGGGAAGATTAGGATAAAGATGGAGACTTTGGGCATGAAGGAAGGAAGGAGGGGAGGGGCATTTTGGTCATTTGGAAAGAGCAGAGGAAAAAGAATAAACAAACGTCTCCTCTCCTTCCTCCATCTCCCTCGCTCCGTCTCCTCCATCTCGATCCATCCATCCAAACCCTAGCCGATCCATCCATCCATCCCCGGCCGCCGATCGGCACCCCCATGACCGCCGCCTCCACCGGCGGCGGCGACGGAGGAGGTGGTGGCGGGGGCGCGTCGTCCCCGGCGGCGCCGCGGGCCATGAAGCGCGAGCTGGCCTTCGCGCTGCAGTCCCTCTCGGAGATCACCGCCTCCCCCGGCCGCACCCGCTCCGGCCGCTCCCTCCTCGCCTCCCCCTCCCTCCCCTCCTCGCCGGCCAAGCGCCGGAAGGCCGCCGCCAGATCCGACCCCCCGCCCACCCCGCCCCCGGATC